AATGCAGTCAGAGTAAGAATACACCACTATTAAAGTGTTCTTTTCTTCAAGGAACAAAAATCCCCAATACAACTTGCATGGGGAGAGGAGTCTGATCAAAATTTTCTTTATGTACAAGGCTAGCCAAAAGACTTGAAAATAAGTCAGAGGAAAGAGATGGTAACTTTCTGCCACTTTTCACCTTTTTTCTTTTAATAGACTCAAATCATATTTATTATATTCTCTTTACTATTTATAAACAGAATTTGAGAAAGAGCAGTACACCCCTTAATTTATAGCTATTTTTATAAATAATATTTCTTGATAATGAAAATGAAAAATAACATTTCTGCTTAATATATACTAGTAAAGGGAAAAAATCTTTGGCCTCTTAAACAAGAAAAAAAATTTAGGAGCTATCTCTATGCAGGTCAGGCTGCATGCATATACATATGCACGTAGCAACTGAAAAAAACAAGATTTAAATACAAAATTTGTTCTGTCAAGAAAGACAAACAGGACTGTTAATTTCTGTGCTCAACTACAGCCTAACCACAGGAAATAGATGCAACAAATCTCTGATATGTAACATGTTTATAGAAGCCTTTAAATTTTAATTGGTCTAAGTATTGTTCCCTTTCTTACAGAGGAATAAAAGACAATGGGGGAAAAGTTAACAATAATCATCCCACTATCACAGAAAAGCTAAATTTATTTAAATCTATAGTGTATTATGTTGAACAACAATAACACTAAAATGATCCTTAAAGAATAAGTATATCACAAAGAAATTCAATTAACTGAGTTATCGTGTGAATATTTTCAAAGGAATTTTGATACAACAAAATGCCCGTAATGTTACATATTACATAACACACTGCAGGAAATAAGTGAAGAAAACTGTTATCTAGAACTCGTAATACACAACTGACAAAAGACAAAAATAAGAGTCAAAGAAGCAGGCAGGTAGATTTAAGTACACAGATAATTCACAAAGCATACCAGTAGCCAACAAATCAGCCTTGGAGTAAACTACAGTGACAATGAATATATGTATGTTCATGTATAACTGAAAAATTGTGCTCTACACTGGAATTTGACACAACATTGTAAAATGACTACAACTCAATAAAAAAATGTTAAAAAAATAAAGAAAAGAAAAAAGAAAAAGGAGGGGAAAAAAGAATCATAAATGAGACACATAATTGGAAATTTTCTATTAAAGAAATATCAAGATTCTAGACTCTCCATGACACTCCAGTTGAGATCTACAAGGATCATTATTCCCGACTACACATGTTATAAGTACTTTTCTCCTTGAATATTTTTAAAGCTATATATCAAATCTTATCAGTAAAAGTAGCACCCAGCTCACTTAAAGCCTTCAACAGCACAATATTTGGAATGTAGCTTTCAGCTTAATAACTAACAATAAAATGCTGGGTTTAAGATCAGTTCAGCAGCTCAAAAGATTTTAGGCTTAACCATATGAAACTGCCAGTTTTCAATCCTTTTTAACCAATAAAATTAACAGTTTCATACAATTCAACCTAAAATATATCCCAGAACTCTCAGTAGTACATTAATTATCTTCAACAATTAATACCACTTGATCTATGTCAGAGAATTCCCACAATCTTCAGCCAGAGCAGGATGCACCATGAAATGGGGTGAGCTTGGAGCTGTTTATGGAAGAGCTATTGAATATACTGGCAGAAGTTCAAAACCTGAGCTTTGCATATTAATCAATGGTTGCAATTGTGATTGTTCACAAAGCAACACTAAATAAAACATTCAGCTTTCAAAGGCTGAAACGATGAACATCATCAGCTTCTCTGAATTTAATTCAGAGAACCAAAATCCATCCATCGGTCAAAAATAAATACCTAAGTATCACACATAAAATAATGATAATTAAAGAGCCAAAGATACCCATTTAAGGAGCATTTACAATGATTTTTTTTCTTTTATTCAAATTGCAATTTTTTTCTAGCTTGATGGGTAAAAGAAACCAGTCTCAGTACCACACACAGTGGCCATGTATCAATCTGAAGAGCAAAAATTAAAATACACAGCTCTTCCAAAATTACTCCTTCCTCAAAACTATTCAGGAAGGAAAGTCCAGCTCCTCCACTGGTCCCCATTCCTCTTTAGAAAGCAGGCATTAGACAGGAAATAACAAGAGTTGGCATGGATGTGGAGGAGAGGGAACCCTCACGCACTGTTGGTGGGAATGTAAACTGTCGCAGCCACTATATGGAGAACAGTATGGCAGTTCCTCAAAAAATAAAACTTCCAGCAATTCTACTTCTGGGTGTTTATCCGAAGAAAACACAAATAACTCAAAAAGATATATGTACCCCTATGCTCACTGCAGCACTGTTTACAAGCTATAAAAGCAACCTAAGTGTCTATCCATAGATGAATGGATAAAGAACACACACATACACACAATAGAATATTACTCATTCATTAAAAAGAATGAAATCTTGCCATTTGCAACAACATGAATGGAGACTGAGGGTATGATGCTAAGTGAAACAAGTCAAAGAGACAAATACTGTGTGATTTCACTTACATGTGGAATCTGAAAAACAAAACAAACAAACAAAAAGATCTGGTGGTCACCAGAGGAGAGAGGGGTCAGGGGATAAGCGAAATAGGTAAAGGTGATTCAGAGGTACAATCTTATAAAGTAAGTCACAAGGATGTAATGTATAGAATGGGGACTATAGTTAATAACTTTGTATGGTGACAGATGGTAACTAGACTTATCATGGTGTTCATTTCATAATATATAAAAGTGTCAAATCACTGTGAAACTAACATAATATTGTAAGTCAATTACACTTCAATTAACAAAAAAGAAAGCAGGCAATAGTGAGGAATGTTAACTAGACTTATTGTCGTGACCATTTCACAATACACACATACACTGAAACATTATATTCTACACCTGAAACTAATATGTTATATATCAATTATATCTCAATTAAAAAATGACTTTATAAAACTTTTTAAATTCTTAACAATTCTGAAATTTCCTGCTTTCTTTTAGATATGCATTAAAAATCTAATTTTCTGGTCACACCACACAAATCAATATAAATTCAACATTTAAACTCTTTTATTTATAAAGCTACTGAAAATTAAATCAATGGAATTGTTTTGGAGAAGCATTTTCTAAGGGTTTATCTTAATAATAAACTTCATTCTCAACATGATACTTCACATAGATTATTATTAATAGAGAAAAAGGTCCCAAACTTCCTTTACTCTTACTTCCTCATTAAAATCAGTGTAATTTTCTAGAGAAAGTATAGTCAAATGGAGCTCTAATCTCATTTATTCCTTTTCATCATTCATGTACACTTTTTGCAATCTAATAATGTACTATTTATTGAGTTTAATGATTTTTTAAATAGAATTATAGTATTTACCTTCAAAAAAACTGACACATAAAAAAATTGAGTACCAACATAATAAGATGCTAAAACATATGCTATAAATGGTAATTTCCGTAGACAAATCAATGTGAACCTCAGCAAAGAGAATTCAGAACTTTCTATGTATATAGCATGTGACATTTTAATACAGAGGAAACAAACCACTATATAGCAAGTATCACCTTTCTTTCCATTCAATAAATTCAATGTAGACTTACTGCAAGTTATCAAAATATAGGTAAAACTGTGAAAGATGTTTAAATGGACAAAAGAGATTACTGAATATCCTTTCAATGGAGTGCTGGCACCTCCAGGGACTACTTGATTCAATAGGGGTGTGGGGCTTCTTTGTCTTTGACTGGACTAGTTCACATCTCCATGGAGTAGAAGTTTGCAATGTAATGTTATGCTAATAGAAAAACAGCAATAGAAGAATCTAAAGAATTCTAAAAAGGCCTTCTAAGCAATGAATATGCTCAATTAAAATAATATGTGCATAAACTGGTGTCACTATTTGGCAGTACCTGAGTGAAAAAGCATTTTTAAACAAGGAATATGTAAAATCTCACTACAAATCTGCTTTGACAGATGAACACTTGCTTTCTATTTTGATAAGCAACACTTAATTACAATTAAGTAAAATGTTATCCTCCAACAGAATGAATTTTACTGTTCTTATTAATAGATCTGAATTTTTAAAAGCTATAACAGATTAAACGGATATCTCAAGCTTATGTGGTGAAACTACACTACATAGTAATTTTCCACCTAACTCCCAACAAAAACTGCTTTTCCAGTATCTCAGTAAATGTTAACTATATTCTTCAGGTTGATCAAATCAAAAAACTTGAAGTCATTCTTGACGTCTCTTTATGTCACTCTCTATGTACCATTCATCAGCAAAAACAGTTGGCTTTATCTATAAACCAGAATCTAACCATTGTTTACCACATCTAACACATCCTGGTTCAAGCTACCATCACTGTTCATTTTTTATAATAACCTTCTAACTGGTCTCCTATTTCCTCTTCTGCTTCCCTTGTTAGCCTCTTCACAAGCAACCAGAGACTCTCTCTAAAATTTTAAACCAGATCACGTCCTCACAAGCAACCAGAGACTTCCTCTAAAATTTTAAACCAGATCATGTCACTTCTTGGCCAAAAAAACTCTAATGGTTTCCCAGCTCACTCAGCATAAAAAACCAAAATCCTTTTAATAAACTAAGAGAAACCACTTCTCTGACTTCACCTCCTACTTCTACCCAGCTCCATTTCAGCCCCAGGTCCTATTTGTGTTTCTTCCAACTTGCTGTTTAATTCTATGCCACAGCCTTTAACTTGTTCTTCCATTGCCTGAAATGTTCTGTTCCCAGATAAATACACTCCCTCACCTCCTTCAGGTGTCTGCACAGTCCTCAACTTCTTCCAGAGGCCCTCTGCGACCATCTTGCATAACTAGCAACCATCCTTTCACAATCTAACCCACCACTTTGTAACCCACCACCTCTGCACTAATCTCCCACAATGGCACATACCACCAAGTGACAGTATATACATATGCATAAAACTGACTTACCATTGCACTAAGCGTCTCTTCCCAATCAGGCCGCTCTCGAGGGTGAACGTTTCTGTGTAGTTCTGGAACAAAATCATCCTCTTCAGAATGTACCGAGGACTTCATCTTCCTAGAGATCAAACATCAGAGAGTATGATCAGTATTCCCATTTCTAGAAGAGCTTTCCAATGACCACAATTCAAAGAAATGGTGCGCTCACTGTAGAGCACAGTCTGGCAGTTTCTCAAAATGTTAAACAGAATTCAACAATTCTACTCCTAGGTATTTAACCAAGAGAAATAAAACATATGCCCACCAAGAAATTATACATGAATATGCATACCAATATTATTCATAATAGCCAAAAAGTAGAAACAACCATCAACTGAAAAATGAACCAAAAAATGTAGCAGATCCATACAATAAAATATTACTCAGTCATTAAAAAAAAAAGAATGAAGTGCTTCATGCTACCACATGGATGAACATAATGTAATGAACATAATGTAAAAACATTATGCTAAATGAAAGAAGTCAGACACAAGAAGTCAGATTCCATATATACAAAGTGTCCAGAATAGTCAAATTCACAGAGACAGAAATTATACTGGTGGTTGCCAGGGGCTTGGGAGAGGAGCACACAGAGTTACTGCCATTGAGTAAGAGATTTCTTTCTGAAATATTCAACAATTAGATAGTGGTGGTGGCTGTACAAGTTTGAGAGTATACTAAAAACCACTTATTGTACACTTCAAAGGAGTGAATTTTATGGTATATAAATTATATCTTAGCCAAAACGAAATAGACTAAAAATTCCAATTAAAATATATAAAGGGGGACATTTCATGATGATAAAAGTGGCAAATCAACAGAGTAAAATAACAATAAAACCCACATGCAACAAATAACACAGCTTCAAAACACATAAAGCAAAGCCTGAAAGGCCAAAAAGGAAAATAGGTAAGTCCACAATTACAATTGTAGATTTTAACAAACATTTCTCAGTAGCTGGCAGAATAAGCAAATTTAAAAATCCCACGTAAACAGGTGATCTGAACAACACAATTATCCAGTCTGAGCTAGAACATTAAACCCAACAACTACAGAATGTATATTCTTTTCAAGTGTATATGAAACATTTTCCAAGAGACCATGATAGACCATGAAGCAAGTCTCAACAAATACAAAAAATTTAAATCATGGACAAAGTATTTTGTGACCACCACAGAATTACACTAAAAGTCAATTAATGAAAGGTAACTAAAAATTCTCCCAAATGTTTGGAAATTTTAAAACACAATTCTGAACAACTCATGAATCAAATTCACAAAATCACAATGAAAATTGGAAAATACTTAGATCTGAATAACAAAAATACAGCACATTAAAATGTGTGGGTTACAACTGAATCAGTAAAATTCAGACCCCCTAAATGTATATTACTGGAAATAAGACAAGTTGGAAAATAAATTATCTAATCTTCCATCACAAAAATCTAGAGAAAGAATAGAAAATTAATCCAAGTAAAGAAAGAAAATAAATTTAATAAAGAAATCAATGAAATAGAAAGATGTATAACACAGAAAATCAAAGCCAAAAGTTGGTTCTTTGGAAGATTAATAAAATGAGAAACCACCAAGAAGTCAGAATGGTTACCTCTGGGAGAGGTGCTAACTAGGAGGGCAAGGGTCTTGTAAGGGGCTGAGAATAATTTATATCTTGATTGTGCTGTGATTATATGAATGTATACATTTATATAAATTCTTCAAGCTATATTCTTATGATTTATAGACTTTATATACAAATTACACTTGAATAAAATTATAAAATAAAAATTTATTGGCAAATGTTCTACAAAAGTATAAAAATTATGTTTATATACATTTTGTGTCATGTACCAATGAATCAACTCCATAAAAACTTAATATCCATTATTTAATTGACTATTTTGTTCCATATTTTTAAAATCATGGACAAATTTTACCCTCAAAATGATTATAGTTTCATTTCTAACAGGAAAAACACAGTGTTAAGATTACCAACCATAAAACTGGAAGAATCTAATGCTCTACTTACAAGAGTTTTCTGTTAAACATCTGCAGACTTGAACCTGGATATTTTCAATCGAAAGGAAAAAGTGAAAACAACACTTTCTTCTAATTGTGGGAACTAGCCTTACCATCTTGCTGCTCTGCTTAGTAAAAAATTATTTGAATCTTTGACACACCTTCTATTTTGTGAGATTCTTGTTCATAATGCAAAATATTATACTTGACAGAGTTAAAATTTCAGAGAAGTTCAAGTGACACCCTGCCTGAGAAGTGTATCCAAGGCACTGCTTACTCCTGGGCACATCTTTTCTTGATCCCTGGAGTAAATTCCAAGCAGCAACAGAACTTTACCTTTTCCTTTTTATTCTCCCAGTCTTTGTTTATTTCTGGTTCTTTGCCCAGCTGGGTCCTGGTTCTGTGACTTTTGTCCCCATTGGTATGGGAAATGACTGGGAGGTGTTCTTATGGTCTGACCACGTGGTGGTATGTGACAGATAAAGAGACACGCATCTATTCTGTCAGAGACAACAAAGAATTTGGTTTGTTAGTCAATTTATGCCTATCTGTTTGTGAAAGAATATATTTAAATTTCACTGAAAAGAACAGCTGACATATACCTGATGTGGTGAGTTTGGTGTTCTCTGTTTAAGCCGTAAAACTGAAGCTACAAGGTATCTGTGTGTGTCTGTGATAAAAGTCATTACCTGTCACCATAGGGAGTGATATATTTTCCTACCTTCAGGAAGGATATTAAAGTATATCCTACTGAGGATATTAAAAACTAGATTATAAAGCCCCTTAAAATATAGGAGTTCTGTTCTGGTTGGTTTATAGGGACTATTAAGTGCTTACATAAATCTAATATTCCTAGAATTCTTCGAAAATAAACAAACTGAAATTCTAACATTACTGGGGTCACCTGTGCTGGCTATGAAAACAGAATAGAGGTATCCTGGAGGAAATGAAATTGAGTTTTGGTTCCTCCCAAATGAAATGCCTGATACACTCTAATTCTTAGCGGGTATTATAATTTCGTCATGCAAAATCCGAAAAAGTATAAAAAGGTATACAATGAAGAATCTCCCTCCCATCCTTGTCTCCATCTGCCTAACGCTCACCCATTAAACATTTCGCTTTATATATTCTTCTAGATTTTATGAATATATATATATATACACTCACATGTATAATTTTTCATAGATACTAAAGAATATATCTATCAAAAGCAAAGTATAAAAGCAGTGTGTAAATATACTACTCTTTGTGTAGGAAACGGAGAGAAGAGTTTTACTCCTCCAGTTCCACCCCACGTTTTACATAGGAAGTGCCATGGTTACACACTGTTGTGTAGTTCTCTAATACTTCCTGGAGAACTTCCCATATCAGTATATAAAGAGCTTCTTCACTGTTTTTACAACTATGTAATAATCCTCCGTGTGGATATTCCATAATTTATTTAACCAATTCCCTATTAATGAATTCTTGAATTATCTCCAACCTTTTGCCATTACAAACAATGCTACAAGGTTGTGAGTATGTCATTTCTACACATGTCCACGTACATCTGAAAGGCAAACACTCAACAATGTGAAATATTCTTTCCATACAGCAGCCCATTTTTTCTGTTGGGTTGTTGGTCTTTTTCTTTTCTACTTTTAGTTATTTATTTATTAAAGAGATTAGGCCTTCATTTGTAGTATGAATTCCAAGTACTTTCCCCAGGCTGTCATTTGTCCTTGCTTTGTTTTCTATAATGCAGATGTTTCGAACTTTATGCAGTTGAATTTCACAACCCCTTCCTTTATGAGTTTTGCATTTTCATAGTTTCAAAATGCCTTTCCTGATCCAAAACATTTTTTTTAATATTCCCATGTTTTCCTTTAAATTTTTCATGGTTTCATTTAATACATTTTATCTTTGATCATTTGGAATTCATCCTTGGTATGAGGTGGGTATCTAATTTTCTTTATTTTCCACAGATGTGTATCCAGTTTCCCCCAAAGTATTTACTGAACAGAACGCAGTGTCCCCGTTGGCTGTTAAGAAGCCATCTTTATCGTAGCTTCTTATGCATTAGGGTATATGTCGAGGCTTTCCATTTTACCCCATTCTGCCTTCTATTTATACCAATACCACAAGGTTTTAATTATTGAGACGTTATAGTATAATGTCTAGTTGCACTAATCCTCTATCCAACATCTTTGCTTTTTTCTTTTCGCCAAAGTTTCTTGGCTAAATTATTTAGCCAGGGTCAGTTTATTTCAAGATCACTTTATCTAGGTTTTTTAAAAGCATTCTTATTATCCCATTAAATTTATAATAAACTGACATCTCTATGATGTTGAATATTCTGTTATGAACAAGGTATATCTTTTCATTTGTTCCAAACATCTTTTTTGCCCTTCAATAGCTTAAATTTTCTTTATATAAGTCTTAGAATTCCTTATTAAGTTTATTTCTGAGTATTTTATCTTTTTCACTGCTGTTAAAAGGGGCTCCTTTTCTTCATTTTCTAACTGGTTACTGTTTGATGCACTATTATTAGCCCTGTTTTGCAGACAGTAAAACTGAAATGCATTAATACATCTCAGTCACTCCAGATATGACAGACCATTTTCTCCTGGAAGATCCCACTTTCCAGCCTTAAGAGGACACTGAAACAAGCCAGTCTATTCTCTAGAGCCCACTAGACAGGATGAAAGACATCAATATTCTGCCTCACTGAATGCTCCCTTCAGAAGTTTCCTCTCAAAAGCCATGAAAAAAACTACCAGTGGACTTCCAATTCAAGACTGCGTACATGTTGAAAAACAGAGTTCTCCTTCTCCAAGTCTCTGAGGCAGGAAACCAAATAAAAGGAAATAAATCCTTAACAGAATAATATAGGTGAAACCAGCAGGCCAGAAATCTTGATCAACTTCTGGAAGACGAAAACCAAGTGAGCTCACGCAGACTGGGAAACCATCAGAGAAAAACAGAGGTTCAAGGAGGCTACACTCCCACTTCTCACCACAACAAAGGAGGTACTTGCCCCCAAGGAATTAATAAAAACTGGAAAATTGCTCTGTAAATAAATTTA